TGCTTCATAGGGTTTTCTTGGCTATACTCTTTATGAAAGTAGATTGTCAGGCCTTTCTTCCATGGTGCTGCTGAGTGGGTTTAAACTGCCAACCTTTAGGTTAGTAGCTAAGTGCTTAATCATCTGTGCCACCTACAGACCTTTTAATAATATAGCAACTATTATTACATTGAGTCCCTACAATATGCCAGGCATTTTCACACATATTCACTTTCCCCACAATCCTAGAAATAGGCAGTATACGCCTATTTCACAAGTAAGAACCTGAAGCTCAGACAGGCTCTACAGCCAGCAAGCCATGGAGGATGAACTTGGGTCTCTGTCCATCTGACTTCAGAGCCTGGGCCCTTGACTACCATGTGGTCTTGGCTCATCCAGACAAGCGAGCTGTGGATGGAGTTGGCTCTGGTGAGCACCTGTAGATAGAGCTCTCTTACCTTGACCACATGGAGCTTAGGCAACAGATTGCAGTCGGCCAGTGTCAGCTCATCCCCATCCAGGAACTTGCGACGGGACCCCTTGTCATCGTCCTCACAGGTATTGGCGTCTATCTCCTCTGGCAAAGGAGTTTTCAGGTAGTCATCCAGTTTCTTCAGTGCCTTGGTCAGGCCTCTCTCCAGGGCTGGTATGGAAGAGGAAAAAGTGTCTTTAGCCAACCTTCTTGCCACTGGATCTGACCACAATGTCTTTAGCATGGGTAGCTCATCCTGAATCCTGTCCCCCCTTGTCACACTGCCAGCCCCCATCCCACATTACAGAATACCTGGCAGCCATTAACATACTGCAGTAGAACGAACTGATTAAATGGCCTGAAAAAGAAAACTCTAACAAAACAGTAAGTATTATATAATGATTTTTTTGAAAAAATAACATATAGAAATACAACTTAGACTATATACCAAAGTTTTAATAGGCTTATCTCCAGGGGGTACAGTAATAACAGTCAACTTTCATTTTCTTGTTTTGCCTTATCAATATTTTACCAACATTCCACAATAAACCCACATACTAATTTTGTAGAAAGAAATAATTTATTTCTTTCATTTTTTTCTTGCATGTACTCATTAAATAAGTAATATGACATTTATTAAATAAATAAACAACTGCATAGTGGTCCTAGAACAGAGGTATGCACCAGGTTTTGTGAGAGCACTGATAATGTCCAGCTAACCCATCCTGAGAAGGGGTGAAGGAGCAGACATGGCTTCCAGGAGGACACGGAATAGGAAAGAGAGTATTCCTGTTGTGTTGCCCAGAGAACCAATGAGTAGCAGGGAGGCGTATTGGGCTCTGTATAGGGAAGAACTGTCTGAAATGGAAGGGCTCGCACATTAGGCAGAGGGCTTCTTATCCCCAGGGATGTACAATCACAGTTGCAAGGAAACTTGTCATGGATACAGCTCAAAGAATGAACACCCAAAGTAATATAATGGAGTGGAAGACTTTTACAGTCTTGCCCCAATATTTATTGATT